TCATAATATAGCCAGCGCAGCTTGCGTTGTCATTTTGGTCCTGCTTCTGCAGGGGGGAAGCTACTCCGTGGTTTACTGACTGTGTATGCTTCTCTGGCCGCCAATCGCGAAATACGATTCGTACAACTCAAGGGTTCCGCAGCAGCAGCTGCTGCTCCTGCGTTCTCACAAACGGGCGCAACATGTGGCACTGTTGCGCGTCCTGTTACAATATCAGGAGGACGCAATCCAGCAGCACCCGGTTCAGCTGATGATTCCTTTGCTGCGGGGGAGGCAGCCCTAGACAAAGCATTCGGTTCGGAATTGTGCGTATTGGGTTGGGCGGTTGAGCTACTGCAGGCTGCGTTTTTAGTTGCTGACGATCAGATGGACGGGGCCTTCACCAGGAGGGGGAAGGCCTGCTGGTACAGAAGGCCGGAAGTTGGGCCAGCGAATGCCATTAACGATGCCGTCTTCCTAATCTACTCTGTACACCAGTCAGACCCTCCATCCTTTGCCTAATGATGCTACTGCTAGCCATTTTCTAGCTTTTGCCTCTGCGTATATCCACGTATTGCTGCCGCTGTTCTCCATTGGCCGCTTCTGCTGGTATTTTGCTACCGCCTCAAAAAGCACTCGCAAGAGCCTCCGCGGTTGTCATCGGGGTGTTCCATTTTCCGGAGGTTAGCTCCAAGATGTGGCTAAGTTCCATTCTTAATTTCTTTGATGTGGAGTGGTGACGGCAGACTGCTGCGGAAATTCCTCGGAGATCACCCAGCGTACGGTCCCTGCACAGAGCTATTACAAAATGTCGCCTTCAACACCGTGCTAGGGCAACACCTGGACACAAATGGTCACGTGAACATGTTGCTGCTGCAACAGCACCAGCGGTACCAAAAGCACAACATGCAGACACAACGTCAGCAGAAAGAGCTGCTCGAGTCACTTCGAGGTGAAACGGCAATGGCAGAAACAACGCTTCTGCAGATAACTGCTGCGGCACGTAGTAGGCAGCAGTCAGCAGCGAGGCTGAAGACGGGTTACTATTCCTTCTGGCTTCCCACAGCTCTGGGTACATCAGCGGCTGCCCCCCGCCTCCCTTCCTGCTTCAGGATGAATAAATCCCACAAACTCAAGTATATTTCCATGGCACAAGTTTAAAGTCTGCATACGGCCTCTAGAGGTATCAAGTACGGTGCATGCAGTGTATGGGTTCGCCTGCAGAAGCTGTGTCTCGATTGATGTGGATAAAGGGGACTGTTGTCAGCCCAATCTGTTCGTAGGTCTCCGGCATAGCGGCGTCAGTGACTTTTCTCTCCTGGCCAAAGTGGAAGAAATATGTCTGTGCACAGGGGACTACTTCCAGGTGCCTCTCTTCTGTTGTCTTGTTTCTCCTTCCCTGCACTGTTAGGCGAACTTAGGCTTTGTGTTTTCCTCTTCACCTCAGCTGCTGAGGCGCGGAAGAGAGCTTCCAACGCTTGCTTGTCTCTGCGTTCCTTGGTATTGAAAGGGACGCGCTGTAGCGGCTACACCAGGGCGTGGGGGGTACGTTACATGATCAGGCACAAGATGACTTCCTGGACTGCTTCGGCTGCCCAGATGCCCTCGGCAAGGCTGGAAGTGACATCCGGGAGGGGAAATGCAGCTGGCCGCTTGTGGAGGTCCGAGCAAACACCCTCACCTGCGGGTGACCGTACATCTCGAGCAAACACCCTCACCTGCGAGTGACCGTACAAGTGATCCAAGGGTTAAGCTCCTGCAGATAGGTTAAGCTCCTGCACACATTACTGTGCTCATTTTCTCCGTGCCGGTCTTCCTGCTTGTCAGCATGTACTGCCGCGGTTTGACTCACCGCATTTATCATCAGCAACGACTATCTGTCCCATTTTGCAGGCTCTTGCCGCCGCAAAGCCCAGAGAAGCTGCGGATTTGCTCGAGGCGTACGGCCGGCCAGACGGAGAGGAGGTTGTTCGCGAGCTGTACAAACAGCTCGGAGTTAGGGAGCGGTTCAAACTCTACGAAGACAGCTCTCGCCGGAAGATTTTGAGGTCAGGTTCGATAGGCAAAACCTGCCGCACAGTTTCATTTTTACGATGCCGCGAGGACTATTGCCCGCCGCAGCAGCAACTGCAATTACAACGAAGCACTTGACTTCAGGCTGCTCATTGTTTCGCTAAATGCGAATTCGGAAACAGCCCCGAGTGGAGACAGAGGTCGTTTCTAATGATTCGATTGGTTCTTAGGCTAGTAGACGGCCTCAGTCACCCAGGGATTCAAAGTTACTTCGCCGCTTTATTGCAGCTCCTCCATGGGCGACCCAAGTGATATCCAGCAGGTATGCAGCAAACGCGTTATCTAATCTGCTTTGTACGCGCCGGGAGGGTACACTGCTTTGCGCTTGTGGCTAGCCATCAACCTGTCCCGGCGCAGTGTATTAACTCGCCCGTCAAAACTTATCCCTCGGTGACCTTTCGTTGAAATCACAGAAGTGCATTGCAGTACATTCGAGCTTATCTCTACGCAGCGCCTACCATCTGACGGCCATGTGGACCCCGCGCCAATTCTTCCCGCCCCCACCACTGCGCACCCCCTCCGCAGCCTTGTGACTCGAAAATCTTGCAATTTGTTTCAGCTTTCGTGTATAGAGTGAAAATCAACAAGTGCAGGTGCCGTCTTGCGATACCCCTAAAGAAACTCATAATACCCAGAGGCGTGGCTAAGTCTCCGCCACGGCTGATAAAGACGTTTTTTCACCAGGGGCCGTCCCGCCGACCTATGCCAGCTCTGTAAGCCTGCGGTTGTAGTAGGGTCAAGCGCTCTCGCCTCTGCACGTCTTTCTTATCCCTGTTTAATATCTAAGTCCGTGAAACTTGCCTCCCAGATTGGGAAGGCCTGTATTTGCGGCAGTTTTGGCTGTTCTTCTTCGGCGCAATCCAAATTCCTGTGAACAACGTAGGTCCTATGCTGCCTCGATGTCTGGCGGCAAGTAGCTGCAGCTGCGCTGCCAGTGTAGCTGTTAATTCTTTACGCAGCCGTGCCGTCTCTTGGCTCAATAGGCCCCAAGTAGTCAGCGTTGGTCGTCGCCACAGCAAAAATTTGGCTCGCCTCAAAGCGAACACCTAGCAGCTTGAGACGGATTTCGCCTCCAGTCCGTAAAGCCAGAGAGCCGTCAGAGAAACTCGGCATCGCGTCTTCTTCCTGCGACGAGAAAGCCAGGCCACAAACCAGCACCATCATCAGTAGCACACGCGCTACGAGTGGCGAGTGGTCGAATCCACGACCGAAAGCTGCGCCAAATTACCGGCCTAGTCCTCACTCGTGCTCTTGTGGTTGGCATGTTAGGTAGCCTAACATGCCAACCACGAGAGCAGCGGTGAGGACTACGCCGATGGTCCTGTGTGTGTGAACAGCCGGGTAGTTTGGGCTTGTTCGGGTTGGAATATATTCTTTCGTCCACGGAAAACCCTACCTGAAATGTATAGGTCGGCGGCAGAGAAGCCCTTGAGACAAAGACCTTAAGCGGACCGCATTGAGCAAATAGCCCTAGCTTGTTCACATCTGTAATCACTGCATCCAGTACCTGTGACCATTGAGATAGGGACCAGGACACGGTGGGTGTGGTTTGGGCATGCAAGAATTTCCGGCGAACAGCCAAAACCCGCAGAATGGAAGGTGTACAGTCACGTCCGATGCTAACTACCAACAGGAGACCCAGAATGGCCCATACGGTTTGCACCTCGGTCGAAGGGCAGCGTGGGGCTGACCTCTTCTTTGAATGGTTTAAAGACAATCGCCTGGTACTTCGCCGCAACCACAACGAGACCCGTCGAGTCCTGGATACGCCCAGGTAAGTTTTGGAGAACTCGAATTACGCACACCACATATCTGGCCAGTAAGCACAAACAGAAAACAAGCGGATAGCCGTAATTAACAACGTGACAAAAGAGGAGACCGGCAGGAAGAAATGAACACACAGTTCAGCTCAGCAAGTGCGGCAGAGCAGCAAGGGAGCGACCGCGCAGCTGAAAGCACGCAAATTATGCCATTCAACCGCCAGCACCTCGCGGACCGAGTGAGCGCTCACCCCACACTCTGCAAACATTTGCCCTCCACTTGTTGCCGCAGCAGGGCCTCCACGCTGGAGAGGTACTCGGGGCCCAGCTGGGCTGGCCGCAGGGCCACAGACTCCCAGCGCTCAATCACGAAGAACATGCTGCGGGCTTGGGATGGCGACGCAAGGCTCAGTTGTTGCTTTCTCTCTGGGAGAAGCCTGTCTCCCGGAGATAGCGGGCTCCCAAGCAGCCGGTAACGTAGCGTGGGAGGTGGGACATGTACGCTGCCTTGCTGCTGCCGTAGCAGCAGCAGCAGCTGTTGCTACGGCAGCTTGTTCAGTTTTGGTTTCTCTTGTTGAGGAAAACTCAAATTTGAACTCCCACAACAATCCAGCCACTATCAAGCTGACGCAAAGGTGTGTCAGGCAGTAAAGTTCGGAGAAACCCCGGGGTTCAGACAGAGAGCAAAAGCAATTTGCTAGACCAACTCCATAGCCACGGCCATAGTCGCATGAACTACTCCCGGAAGCTGCATAGCATGTACTGCATGCAGTGGCGCACTGGGACCCCTCGGCAGCGTGTGCAACTTTGCGAAAAGGGCCCCGCAGGGCCTCCTTTAGCTTTGCGCGACTTCATCTTTCTTCCTAACTGTTAAGTTTGGTTCACTTTTGCGTCTGAGGGGAATACAAGGCAGTTGAGTGACTGCGCTTTGTGAGCGTCTTGCCCTGTGGTGGCCAGGGATGCCCGCACTGTATCGCGCCATGATCAACGAACCTTCATCGCGCCTCAGCGGGGCTGCAGCTAGCTATGTCGAGTTTTTCTGGGGTTTACTAATCCTCCAACATACATCAGGGCGCTTTTCCTGCGTAGAGAATCCTGACATGAGGTTTCCCGTGTCGGGCAAGCGTGTCCAACGGATCAAGGGCTTCGGGCTAAGGGCTGGCTGAAGTTTTGGTAGCTCAAGCGAAGATGTCTACTGCTCCATGGGGAGGGCGAGGGAGAACTAGTGGGACACCCAGCAGCAGTGGGGGTAATGGTATCAGCAGCACAAGTAGTAGCAGCGCCAGCAGCAGCGGCCTGTGTGTGACTGGGACTGCCTGCCGTTTCGGCAGCAGCCGGGGTATGGCCTCGGCGGCAGATAACAGACTAATCAAGATTGAGGTAGAAGGAGAGGAAGTGTTGGTTGATCGGTGGGGGTCCAATACAGACCAGTCAAACATTTTTCTGTATTTCCGTGCCTAAATGTGCTTTGGCCTGCGTAATTGGACGCTTGCCACACTTCTACGCCTCAGCCGTTTTAGTTTGCCTTGTGATCCCGTGTGTTTCTTAACCGTCCCTCCTTTGCCACCTTTTTATCTCTGCGTAAGCCCAACAAAGTTCTGCTATATGCCGCCATCTCCCAACGCCTGCTACATTCTGCATGTTATGTTGTGTTTCCTTCCCTCTATACACTGCGTGGCTTCTGGCTGACCTCTTTCCGTTCGTGGAGTTACTGATGACCATGTGAATAGAATCACCACTGAGCACTCGTCAGTCATTGCTGCTGGTGGTTGCCTGTTCTCGCCGCTGTTTTTTCTTCATGCAGTTACGATGTGAGGCTCCTGCTGGGAGATGTTGCCTCATTTGCGCGTCAAAATTGTAGCAAAGAGTGGCGTCTGGCGGAGCTCCAGGAGAGCCGAGAGATCGAAGAGATGCGCTATGAGGTAATGCTTGGAACCGAGACTCAAACTACAGGAAGGGCACTTAGAAGCAAGAGGCGTCCGCATTTTCTTGCGTGCATTCAGGACCTTCCGCGTCGCTCGGCCTTCTCAGACGACCTCCCCACGCCACCGGAGCACCAGCAAGAGCAGCAGCAGTGGACTCCTACGCTAGAGCAGCACAAGCAGCAGCAAGTAAAGAAGCAGCGCACGATGACTGCAGTGCCGGCGACTGCATGGACTCTCGGCGACCAGACACCGGAAAGGTGAGGCTTGGATGGCCTGTACTTTAATATTCACTGTTCAAGCAGACAGGCTCAGTAGCTCAGGCCCTTGCTGATAGGCCAAGCCTTGTTTTTCTTACATCATATGCAGGCCAGATTACAGTGCTGTCCCACCGCCAGACGCTCTTGAGCAGCCTGGAGATACCTCAGGTTAGCTGCGTTGCGACGACGGTGTTGATGCTGCGGTTGCTTGTGCTGTTAGTTTTTCATTCTGTTGTTCATGTTATGGATGCTGTCTTTACTCTTGGTGGCTGCTACCTTGCTGTGCATCGGAGGCTCATGAGTATGTCAATGTTTTCGCGGGTACTGTTGCCTCTGCTTTGTTGCCACTGCTGCAGCGAAGCCTGGGGGCTTCTCATCAAAGCAGTGCGAGCAGGCTACTGAGGCAGCAAGGAAGGGAGCAGCAGGACGGGCCTCTGAAATTAGCCACTGTGGAACGTTTGTAGCTGATGCAGATAAGCATGCGGAAGAAGGCCAACAGCAGGATAAACCCACGCAGCAGCTGAAGCCACAGAATGATGGCGACTGCTTCATCCCCCCATTTCCAGATCTTCCCGGCAGCATGCGTCTTCCGGAAACTCTCAGGGAGTACTTGGTGATTGAGCGGACAGCGCACTTCGTTCGGGAGGTGCGCCACAGTTTCAGTTTCGTTTGATCCGTTGTCGCTGGCACTCAGCGTAGATCTATACATTCCACGGCAAAGGGTATAGCTGCTTGGGGGGCCTGCACGGACTAATTACCCGAGCAGCAACCGTGTAGCGCATGTTTTCTGTGCAGTGGGTTTCCATCTGTCGTCGCCTTCTGTGTGTGTGGTGCTGCACTTGATGGTATTTATGTTACTGCTGGTCGTATCGCCATCGCTAACATATGCGGGAACTGCTGCTGTGATCGAGTGATGTGATCGAGTGCCGTGAGCGAGTGCTGTGATCGATGTTGACTGCGCCGCAACCCAGGAGGGCGACCGCATGGAGTTTCGTTTGTTGCTGGACGAGGAGCGTCGGCTACCTTTCCTCTCCGCAAGCCATCCGCTGCATCATTTCTACACATGGCTGAAACAACAGGGTCACTCTTTGGTGGCGTGGGAACCGGCTCTTTTGCCTCCTCGCGTTCGGGCGTTGCTTGAGTTTGCATGTTCTGTCAGCAGTACAGCTGAACTTCCGAAGCAAGGGAAGCAGGAGCAGATGCCGGAATCAATGGAGGAAAAGGAGACCAAATCACAGCCAAAGCAGCAACAGGGGCAAGACGAGCACAAGCAGCAGCAAGAGCAGCCGAAGCACGACCCTGATGGTGGGCTAGGGCTGCTTCTTTCATATGGCAGTGACGAGGATGACGACGACACCGCTGTATCTCCACAGCAGAAGCATGCACAGCAGGATGAAGAAAATCAACACGAGAAGCCGGAAATGCAGCAGCTGCAGGAATGTGAGCAGCAGCAGCAGCGTCAGGAACAAACAAAGAACGGTGAGCCTATTTTGGGGGAGCCTGTAGCTACGGCAGCGAACAGGAGAAAGCCTCCTCCTGCTCCTCCCTTGCCGTCTACAGTAGGGGCAAGGTCTGCGTCAGGAGTAGGAGACGCGGCAGGAGCAACAGCAGTGTGCGGAGCAAAAGACCATGGAGCGAGTGAAGTGGGGGACTCTGAGGAAGAAGACGGGAGCAACAACCCTCAGGATTTGACAGCGCTCTGGCGATCTTTGCGTGTTACGCGCTTTACACTCAAAAAGAAAAAGCTGGACAGGTCTGTTTTAGTCGAAAAGGATGAGGAGGGTGAACAGGAAGATACGGATATGATGATTGAAGCGCTACCGAAGAAGCCTCCATGGGCATTGCCGAATGCGAAGCTAGGACTCTCCAAGGTACATCCTTTTGTACACTCTCCTGCTGGTGCTTATTTCTTATTATCGATTTCTGTATTAAAAAGAGCCACGGACGAGACGAAGACAGCTTTTGTCGCAGTACTTGCTCGTTCGCGGCCTTCGTTTTTCTGAAATGGCGCTTCTTTAAATTCTAAATTTTGGCCTAGGAATCTCTGAGCTCTTGAAGTTGCAAGTGGTTGCTTAGGGCCATTGCTTATGTTATATTCCTGGGCTCTTCTTTCTCTTTACGTGCCTTCGCAGGCGTCAGCTCTTGCTATACAGCAACTGGGGCATCATTTGCTGTCGATAGGGGACTTGTCCCTCGTTAGACATGCAAAAACGGCAAGTGCAGGGTTGGTGCTCCGGGATTAGAGAGCGTACATACAGAAGATGTGGGCACAAGAGCTAATTATTCACGTGAACTGAGAGCAGGGAGGATGATGAGGGCTTAGGGTTGAGGTTATGCGCTGCCGACTAACTTTGGGGCATGCGGTGCTGCAGTACGAAGACGATGCGTCTCCGTTTCCTTTTTTGAGAACCTCCTCAATGGACCTTAGATATTTCAGGTAATTTCCTTGACCATAACGAACGGCCACAATCAGAAGCAGTAGCATTTGTGAAGGAGTTCAGAGAAGCTTCGGCAGTAGCAGCAGCAGAACATGTATTTCCTGGTTTGTGTGTTAATGACCTCAGATACGTGCTCAAGTGTGTGGAGACAGAAATGCAAAAGGAGGGATTTGCCAAACCTCAGCCTCTTTCAGGATCTACCCATGAACTTGTACGGAGATTTAGCATTTTAGTGTAACCTCAGACCTTGTACATCAAGCGTATGTGCAAGTGCGCAAGAATGCTCTCATTGTTTCATGATTTCAGCACCGTCGATCGCTGGTGCACCTGCGCTTTCATTGTGCCTTCTGCTTGTGACTGCTCTTCCTGCTGCTGCGCCGCTGAATCCGCAGGCACGCAGCTTTCTAGCGCGGCTTCAGCTAAACTATCACTTGCAACAGCGGAAGCAGAAGTTGCTGCAGGAGTGCATGCGGCTCTCTGCGGATGCGTCGGAGAATAGCACCGTCGACTATCTCAGGCGAATTGAGGCGGCAGCGGCTGCTGCGGCGGATAGCAGCAGTGCCGGTACTAAAAGCTCCACGGATGGTGCTGCGACAAACGCAGGGGCTTCGCAAGATGCCAGCACTTCATCAGACAAAGCAGCAGTAGCGGCAGTGGTACCACCACCAGCAACTACAGAAGCCGCAGCAGCTACGGGCGACCCTGCTACTACAGCATATTTTTCCGCCGTACAGAGTCAGATACCACCAGAAACAGCAGCTCACTTACAGATGCTGCTGCAGCAGATGGCAGCTGCGAGCGTTGCAGATGATGCAGCCACGTACATGGCCTGTTACTCTGCATACTGCTATGCACTTGCTGGTCTGTCCCCAGAGGCAGCATCAGCAACCCCAGCAGCTACGGCAGCAATGGCGGCTTCCCCTGCAGCACCTTCAACAACGGCAACCGTGACAACAGCAGCACCAACTCTGGCCGCAGCCCAGCCGGACGTGCAGGATGTTGTTGAAACAGCGACTGCCGATTCTCAAGGGGCACAGCCTGACGGGAAACTCTAGAAGTGGGACAACGGCACCACCCCGTAGAGATTTCGCTATTGGGAATTGCCAAGATACGGCAGAAGAATGTTAATGGGGACTCGAAGATAGGGAAAGCCGCTTCACAGAGTGTAAGCTACAACCGCGTAGGCCAACGATGAGACTTCGAGTTCCTTGTTATTTTGTATGTGAACGGCTTTCTACCTTTTTTAACGCCATGGATCATGTGGCAACTTCAAACTGACGAAATTTTTTGAATGCGTTGACTTGTTAGACGAGGAGAGCCCCGTGATCAAATGACGAGACCTAGCCTTTAAACTTGAGCACAAAGAATATCTTTTGCTTGGCAAATGCTTACGGCGGTCCCAGAAATTTGCACTGCTTGGTAACTGTCAAAAAGTGCCCTCTGCAGTCTTCTTGGGGCAAGACATACTCTGTTTTTTGCTGCACAGTTTCAAAAGACGACGGTCTGCAAAGGGCTCATCGGGGATAAGAGACTCCCACACCCTTCGCTGAGCGTACTCCAGGCTCCCGAAGGCCTCGGCTGCAGCGAACTAAGAAGAGGAGCAGCAGCAAACAAAACAGTGGAAGCAGTGGCAGCAGTGGAAAATTTTAGTTCCTGGGCTGCAGACTACGTGGCATCCCTTGAGGATTAGGGTGTTTCGACTTTACCTGTTCTTCTGCTGTCACAAGACGGCCATCAAGTTGCAACAGCTGAGGTAACAAATGTATGCAGTGCAGACGCCATTGAGGAATGGTTGTCATCGGCCCTGGTGACACTTGAAGGCTCTGGAGGGCTTCCGTACTTTTCAGGGCTAGAAGCTGTAGTGGCCTATTCAAGCCAGGATTCTCGTGAATGTATATCTCGCGTAAGAGGCGGTTTTGCCCAAGTTCCAGCGTGTCGAGAGAGGTTAATTGGTTACCCTGCTTGACAGGGGGGAGAAGGAGGCCAATGTATATTCATTACATTTGCATCAAGGTTTCATTTACGAGCTGTGATGGGCTCGCTGCAGAGGAGACAAGACTCACCTGAGCATGCAGAACTACTAAAAGAGGAGCTTGTTGAATCCCGTCGAGGCTTTTGAGGGAGTTGCTGCTTATGTCTAGGGTGTCTAGACACTTCAGGTAGGGCAGCTGCTCCAGAGATTCAATCGCATTATTACTAATATCAAGTTCCCTAAGCAAGCTGTTTCTCGTTAGGTTCCCATACTTCAGGGAGTCAAGTTTATTTCCTCCGAGTCGCAGCACACGTAGACGGACGTTGAATTGCCAGTCACCTGAATAGGGGAGTTTCAAACTTGAAGCAGAAGACAGTGAAATCTGGGCCTCAGGAACATACCCTTTGGGGAACAGCTCCGCCTCGGTTTTAGGATTCAGAACACTAGGGATACATAAATGTCTTAATTAATAGAAAGCCAAACTACACTTGCTTCGCATTCGGTGTGCGTGGAACTTTAACGGAACCCTTTGAGAGGGACGTTTGCATGCCCTAACGTAGTTAAATAAGATAGGATGTCACCTAGAGAGGTAATAAGGTTCCTCCTGAGGTCAACATGCTCGAGTTTCGCATTTGCTGAAAGCTCCGCTGCGGAGCGTATCTGGTTGTTGCTGGCATTAAGATACACAAGGTTGGCTGCTAGCCGGACAGGGTAAAGGCTAGTGAGCTTGTTGTCGGAAATGTCTATTGAGAGAAGCTTCTTCACGTCACATAGCAGCATCAGTTGGCGCAGACCCCGCCCACACAGCGATAAGCACACATACGCCAAACGGCCGTCTGGAGGGGTCTGCTGCAGCCCACTGAGGCCTTCCCTGAGGAACCGGGCACCCGTCTCAGGGGGTAAGGACTGCAAGAAGTCGACGCAAGGAGAGGGCCCTACGCGAGGAAAAAGCTATATTGGCTGGCCCTCGAGTCCCCACTTTTGCGCATCTTTTGCTGCCTGTTGAGGGATGGCTTTTACTGATGTTCACACTTGAGTAGCCGTGAATTGCTCCCTACCTTTTGATACATCTGTCCGTTGAACCGGCATTTAGCGTAGGCCAAGCTAGGTAGCTATCATTTTCAAAATAGCTATGCGGTGACTGTCTTGCTCTGCCACTGAGCTCTCTTGCGTTCGGGAGGTGCTGCTCTACCAGGAATATGACTAGTAATAAATGCTATGGAGAAGAAGAGGAGCCATAATGCTTGGAAAAGATTCTTTCATACTGAACAGCTTCTGGTGGGTCTCGAATCGGCTACCAAATTCTTCAAGTAGATGAGGATACTCGAGAAGCGCAAATGACGACCGCAGCCTCTACCTACCCTACTCCAATACAGTAGAAAAGCAATGTTAGTTTATGCAAAGCAGTTACTTGCTATGGAATCTGGAGCAGACGCTGCGCTGTATTTGCCGGCTCCACTGCAGCCTGGAGTTCTTTCCGCCTCTCCTGTCCCTACTCTAAGGCTTTGTTTTGTCTCCATATATTATCATTTACGTGAATCTATTGTCTCTACATTTGAATGAGCTTCTGTGGAAACAAACCTGCTCATTGCCCTCGCTTGATTCCTCCACTGACCGCTCATCGGGCCAGCAGCCCATCTTGGTGGCCATCGAGGCTTAACCAGGGTGCGTCACGCAAAATATCAAAAACGGCGAAAAAGCACTTTTTTTCTACTTACGAAGACAGATATAATTGCGGAGGCGATTCAGGGCAAACTAAGCACACAGGCCGCAGCGGTCAGAGACCCGTTGTCCTACATTCATTGGGGATTTCGTTAACTAACGGCCCCTGCTTTCTTTATGGCACTGCATACTGGTGCTCTTTCTGAAATTTCCATGGCTTTCTAAATAGTTTGACGAGCTTCAAACACTGAAGGGGCGTCCAAGTCACCGCCACTAAAGAACGGCTTCACAAACTCTGTAAAACCCCCCTCTGCGCGATCATTGAAGGGTTTGAAACCAGACTAAATGGATGCATATCCGTAATGATTCACAAAAACAACATAGTCTGCATCTTTGACTGATAGTGAGCCTCGTTGTCTACTGCGTCTCTACGCTAAGAGCACGGTCGACTTTACATGAGCGTGTCGGAAGACGAATACCCTTCCTCTTTCCCCCGTATATTTCACATGTGAAGGCCCTTTCGAATCGCAAACTTTTGTATCCGGAACATTTTGAATGGGCTGCGGCTACGGACCACCACGAGTTGAGATACCTTCGCCAAACACATGAACTTAGGCCTTACTACTTCAACCGTATCCGAGCCTATCCTGTTTGCAAATGTAGCAAAGAAAAGTGCCGGCCATGCGAAAATTCCACCAGCAACAACCGCACGCAACACACAGCATCTCGTGAGGGCTCCCCGTCGACCTCGATAACACTGCTTTTAGATCAAGGAACGTTCATTGGCGCTGCCTCTTCTACAACGGAACAAACACACACACAACCTTGCGAACGAGTGAAAGTTTAACGCTGCTCGCTGGAAGTGCTCCACTTTGGGGATACAGGCGACTGCAAGGTCCCTTCGACTCCGGCAACAACAGGAGAATTGAATCCCAAAGAGGGCCCTGGAGCAATAGTTGGACTTAGCAAGAAGTCAGGTAGCGGTGTTGATCTCTTATGTCTAGTCGGTTCAACTGCCCCCCCCTGAAGAGGCAACCTTGGAGGCTTTCCTTTTTTTGTGGTCACCTCTTCTTGCTGCGCCACGCCGGGCTCTTCCTTTGCCCCAGCCCATTCGTAAAAGAGTTGCCTTGTCAAAGATTCCATGGGTGAAGGCGACAGCAACTCTGGGAAAAATCCATGATCGAAAACAGGGAGCAAGCGGCTTCTAATCGTCTCCGTCAGATCTCCCAGGGCCACTTCCTGCGCGTGGATCACTTGGGCCGTTCTTTGCCGCAATTCCCACAGCCCCCAGCACGACGCAAGAGTATTAAGGGTCATAAGCATAAGTAGCCACCACTTCGTGGCGCTCCCTCCAGTGATAGAGCCTTGTCTGCCTCGCATCTGTGACTGCAGAGGAGTGTCGTAAACACGGGCAGGAGCAAAGCCCCCGTGAGGCCCCTCCCTCATAAAAGGTTGAAGCGCATAAGGAACTTCAAAATTATACACCTGCGGGGCCTGCCAATCTGCCGTTGCGCCTGGCGACGGAGCTACCGAAGCTTTCCTTATTCCACCTCGAGGTGGCGACTGCATGCCGAACACCTCCTTGTATGTGCCATCTAGAGCACCTAGTGGCTGCTCAACGTGAACCATAGAACCAACAGCTCCTGCAGCTTCTGCCTTAGACAAACCTGGGGAGGGAGAGGGTGTGGATTGACCCTCCCCAGACACTGCCTCTTTGGGGGCACCGTTGTTCCACGCCATGTCTGCATCTGGAACCACCAGCGTATAAGCGCAGCTGCCCAACAGGGCAGGCCACTCATGTGGCTTTTTTAGTCTTCGTCTTCTTTGTGCTATCCGTCGAGAAAATCAACTGTTGGTCTTCCAACGACAAAATGTTGTGACCGGCTCAGGCCGGCTACTTCTTGGTTGACCCCAGCAGCACAGCACTAGCAGGAAGAGAGCCATGCAGAGACTAACAGGAACCTCCCAAAAGTGAAAAAGTAGCTGACGGCGCAACAGGTATGCAAAGTAGGACGTGAAGCCACACCACCCCGCATGCTGCACAGGGCCACTGGCTCGGCCCTGCTCGTTTACCCAGGTTCTGAGTTGCAACTTTGCGATTTGGTGGTACTTTGATGACACTTCCCCTCAGAACAAAACGAGCGGGGTAGGAATATAAGGGTTACAGGGAAAGGGATCGACTTGTGGGGCCCCCCGGGAGGGAATGGACGTGATCTCGCGAGAGGATTATCGCCGGTCCAAATGGAGTATCTTCTCCATTTCAGTAATGTAAATGGTCTAATAAAGTTGACGAACACCAAAAATACTCATTGTAGCATGCCATGCAGCCTTGCATCAGCCCAGCCACAGCCACTGCAGTGCTGGACACTATGAAAAGCGGAGAACTTGCGTAGACTGGTAAGATTTCGCGCTAAATAGAACAATTGAGAGATTTTAGAGTAGGGATCTCTTGCTTTTTCTGCTTGTTCAAGCGTCCAAGGGTAGTATGTGGTGGTCAGTGGCTTGAGCAAACCTTGAGGCTCTATGGATAGAGCAGGTGCTAACTTGATTGGATGGAGGCAGTTTCATTTATCTTCAGGACTCTCCAGAGGCGGACGTAGTGCATTTTTGCTTATTCTAGAGGGTCATGCGGAAGCGTACAGATGGCTGTAGTTACAACTGCCATAGGACTACACTGGGATATAGAGTTGATATTACATTGCCATAATGTGCTTGGTTTGTAACACTGGGCTTGACGGTTCAGTAGAACTGCTGCAAAATCCTTTGTCGTGCCCTATAGCAGAGATACGATTCTCTAACCTGTCTTCAGGAACCAAGAAGGAGAGCATTAGAACTCAAGCGATAGGTTGAACTTCTGATGGGCAAGAAGACGGAAGACGTTGTGCTATTTTATAACACAGCGGCCAGTTGTACTGCAGATTACCTTGAATATGAGTATTTGAAAATCACCTTGCAAATTATTTCACTGCGTAAGCTTCGGTGCTCCGATAAGTACGCTCTTCACGGAAGAAACAAATTGACCGATCAAAATGGAAAACCCTAGGAATAAGATCACACAATGCGACTAACGTGATTGTTGTGTTTGTTTCACCTGTAAAACGAGCAGCTGTTAGCACAAGCTCTCCTCAATTGTCCCCTTGTCAAAACACTTTTCGCGGACGCCAGCTAGGGAGTGAAACGGCATGCCATGTGGCAAACACGGCTTAAAACAAAGTCCCGCTATCCCAACAAAGACACCCATAATATTCATGCGCATTAGCTGCTAGGTAGCCTTCTCGAAGTATATAAAAGCGCGGATGCCAGCTGTACGCACCTCCACAGAACGCCATCGCGCCGTCTGCCTGGAATCCGCTCGGTAGCGAGCTAAGCCCAGCTTGGCTGTTTCTTGTGTCTGTTGTTCTGGCGACATAGATTCATCCGTAAGACTATTTATTGATGGCACCAATTAGATACTGAAAAATCTGCATATTGTTATTCTACGTTTAATTTCCGAAGAGAGGCATCTGTCTCCTCCTGGGTCTCTCCCTGCACCCGTGCCTCACTACAGTGCAGCATCAGGCTTTTTCCCAGCAGCAAACGCCAAGCCTAATCATACAGCACAATGTGCCCGATCGCCCGATATTTAATTTATTCCGCATGGCAACTATATAACTGCTGTACCAACCTACATATTCTGAAATACATGGCCCAGGAGACAATTTCGAACCTGCAAGGTAATGCTGTGCACTACAGCTTTAAGCATCCTCACAATGCTTCTTCTGTCACTGAAAGGAGGTTTTAGGAGTTTTTCTTCGTCCATTGCAGCCGTAAGTTGCGGTGCCTCATGCCTAGCCGAGGCTGGAGCTTTACCGTTGCCGCCGCAGCCACATTACATTCCAGGTATATCTGTTGCTGTATCTGTAACAGGCTGCTTCAGACTCGTTTTCCCTATTTATCGCCTCTTCTGGGGCAGGTACAGACGCTGCTCTGCCCTGCGTTGCACCCCTGGCTCGCGCTGCAGCTGGTTGCTCAAGACCAGTCTTCCAGTGTAGATATGCATTTTCTTACTACAAGACACAGCCATTAATATAAATTACTTGTGCGTGTTACGTCTTTATTTTACTTGCGTGGCGCTTTTTCCCTTTTTGCTCTAATTCAGGTGTAGTCAAACCTAGATTCTAGCTCGAATTTTCTTAGGCCACTGGACTGTGGTTCATTTCTAATGGCCATAAGTTATAGTCACGCCTCTGCATAGTGCATTATTTTTTCCTCTTCTCTCTCTTCTTTGCTTGGTTCCCCTTTGATGCGTTTTGTTATCAGTTGCCTAGGCATTCTATTTCTTTTCCCATCAAACCCTAAACCATCGCAAAGCCACGATCTAGCCGATCTAATCTGAGCTTGCAACTTGTATGTGGGTAAATGGCAACTC